CCGGTAACTACTCAGCCTCTACTGCTGTTAATTCAGGCTATTTTTAGAACAGCGGGCGGCCCTCAGTGCGACTAAAAAAAACAGCAAAACACACAACAAACATTGCTGTGCACTGTACAGCCTCGCAGTCAGTCTCGGTAGTTAAAATCAGCAAGTCATTGCAGGCTTACCCTCCTAGGGAGCCAGGACCTCTGAGCTAAGGGTGCTTATACTCCTTTCATGCAAACAATCGCTACCCCGTGTTATGTGCCACTTTTGTCTGTTTTTGCAAAGAAAAGCACTCCTTCTCTCGAAGTTACGGAGCCATTTTGCCGAGTTCCTTCAACATGGTTATCTCAAGCGCCTTAGTATACTCTACTTGGTGCAGACGAGGTGAACGGCGAGGAAGGTTGCCCTTCTGAGCCGCTTCATGTCGCACAACAACCGACTTTGCTGTCTTGAGAAGTTCCCTTCTGTAGAACCATCTGTTCTCAGTAGGGGGCTGGAAAGCGAACCTCACAAGATACTGTCGATCGAGGCCTGTGGCCCACTCATCCTCAATCCATTCCATGTCATATCCCTTGCCAAGGATCAGTGGACCAAACTGAGGGGGACGGTCTAGGAATGCATCAACTGGGGTGAATGGAAGCAGCTTAGATGCATGGAAGACCGGGTAGGTTCGTAGATGCAGCGGGACGTCGATGACATAGGATCGGCCAAATGGATCAGCGCCCACTGTATCTAAGACCTGCCACGGACCCAAATAGCGAGGCAACAGCTTGGGGGAGATATCCTCCTCCCTCGATAACTCAGAACTGGCCACCCAGACATAATCACGAGTGCGGATGGGGGAAGGTTGCCTGTGGCGATTAGCTTGCTCAATCATTGCCTTTTGGGCTTTGAACAAGTTCGCGCATGCCCTTTCCACATCTATGCGGTAGCGTTTGGTGAACTCTGCAGTGCCTGGTTTCAGGTCTGACTTAGCCTTATCGATGATATCATCGATAGGCTAGCGTGGTTCACGTCCCCAGTGCAACCGGTATGGACTGAACCCAGTCGAGGAATGGACAAACATGTTATAAACAAGTTGTGCCCGAGCCAAGTGGAGATCCCAGTCCTGTTGATCTGGAGAGATGACAGGACGCAGCAATTGGAATAAATCACCTCAGCCTGACCATTGGCTTCAGGATGATGACCAGAGGTCATGTCGAGTCGTGAGTGCAGGTAGTCCTTACAGTAGGACTGCCACTCATCGCTGCAAAATCGGGGGTCTCTATCACTGACTATAGGAGTGGGCGGTCCATGGTGTGTGACCCACCTCTCTGAAAAGGCTGCTCTCACAGTCGGGACTCTAGCTACCTTTGGCAAGGGGATGAACTCTGCGTGTTTGGAGAACCTGTCCACGCAGACCATTACCTGACGCATGCCACGAGGGTGGTCTTGCATAAATCCGTGAAATCAATTGACCCAGATTCAGCAGGGCCATCAGGTATGGGTAAGGGTTTGAGTAGTCCCAGTGGAGGCCTACGTTGCACCTTGTTCCTCTGGCAAAGCTCACAGTTTTCCACATAGCGCAGCATATCACTCAGCATCTCCTTCCAGAAGAAGCGCTGCGACAAGGCTGCATACGACTTTAAGGACCCAAAATGTCCACGTGCATCATGACACTCTGACATCGGCAGTGTCCTGAGCCGCTGATCCTGGGGAATGCACAAGCGCTCAAGCGCTCCTCACCTTTGCTGTTGGTATACAACAAATCTGAACTCAGGGCATAGCCGGGTTCAGAATTGGGATCCGCTTGCAGATTCTTGACTATTGGTCCATAAGTCGTGTCCTGAGGCAGAAGACGAGCAATGGTCTGACGGGTCTCCTCTCCAAAGGAATGAGTAGAGGAGATCATTGTAAAAGAATCAGGCCTACGAGAGAGGGCATCTGCTCCCTTATTGTAGCAGCCCTTCTTATGTTTCAGTTCAAAGTCAAACATGTCTATGAACTGAATGTATCGTGCCAACTTATCATTTAACTCTCCTTGGGACTTCATCCACTGTAAGGTGGAGTGGTCTGAAAAGATCTTGAAGTGTCTT